CTCTCGCTCGCTCACAGAGGTTTCAGAGGCTATTACTCGACGACTGCCAGTGCCATCTGTGGGATTTGTGACGCATTATGTGCAAGTTTTCTCGCCTGCTGTGCTTCAAAGTGCATTGGCTTTTCACTGAATTTCCGTCGCAGAGTTTTGCTATCCTTTGCTCGGCCAACTGACTTAAATGCCAAACGAAGCGTTTTCTCATTTGATCCCCCCCATATTTATTTTTGTTTTATTTTCCAGCTTTATTCTGCAGAAATTCATCAGAATTGCTTATCAATCATACGTCATGTTGTACGCTGTGCACGTCCTGTGCACCCCTTTCAATTGTACCTGCCATACACAAATATTTTTTACTATATTCTACGGATTTTTATTCGAGCTACGTAAAAATGATACCCTATACAATAAGCCGTCGCAGCGGGTTGCTAAAAAAATTTTAGATTATAAAAATTATACAAAATATCTTCAGCAAATTGTGTAAAGTTCATCAATATAATTATCGATTATTTATTGATGCCGTATCCTACCCTAATAGCAATAACATTTACAGGGTATACCGCAGGGTATTGCTCAGCTGCATATCATTAAATATTTGCATGCAGATAACAAAATTTTTGCATTGCATTCGGTCCTATGAACGTGTTAGGAATATATATGTAATGTATATACATACATACAAACATACATATCCTTGGCCTTTATATCAAGTGCGTCCGTAATTGAATTTCCTGCTTCAAAATAGAGAATGTCGAATATAACCCAATTAATTCAAATAAAATTCGATAAGAATAATTTGAATAACTTGACTTTTAGAGATTTTCAATCTAGATTTATTTTTCCTTTGCCTCTGGCAAATGCAATTCAATTAAAGTTCACATCAAATATTCAGCCTTGGCCCTTATTGCTCATTTAGGTCCAGTTTCATACCACACACGGAATGTGTTTGCATCCGAAAGCATTTAATTGACATTGATTATTTAATATCGCCGCCATTTTGTAATAGTCCTTGCCTCCAATTAATTAATACTTGATGGCATTTCATTGGACAAGTTGGCATGCCTAATGCGATTTACAGATCATTAACAACGATGACAAACTACCTGCAAACTGCAGGCATTCCTTATTAATCAGCATTGCTCACTTCTACATATGTTTATGATTTATGCGGCTTAATTTAGATATCTCACAAGAGTGGATGCTTACATACAAATACAAATACAAAAGTTAAATTTATTTGCAAGGAACACAACATAAGCAAGAGAGACATAAATGTATAGCAATTTAATTACATTTGCTTCATAACTAAACCAATGCGTATTGTGGTTTTATTTAATTTCTAGCAAACAAATTTAAGCAAATGAAATGTTTACATTTGTATATAAAGCTGCAATCGTTGAGACTAATTGAGTTTTGGCTTTATTGTAATGAAGTGATGCCAGAGTATATTAAATATGTTTACAATTATTTGAAGTAGATTCATTAATGACAGATTGCAGATAAAAAGAAAAAGAAAAAAAGTTTTTCTTTGTGAAGTTTAATTTTATATCTAAAATTTCGCCTAAATATTTTATTTAACATTGTCGTCAAAAATCTTGGAAAAAAATTAATTTCTATTTGTAAAAAATTCCTATCGTTTTCTGTCAACATAAACAAAAATTTTCATTTATTTATGAGAGTGTTAAAAGCTTCGAAAATATAGCTGCAAATATTCTAGGGCAGAGCATTGATGTATAAATTGAATATAAATATAATAAATAAGTATTAAGAATAAATATTTAAAACGATGTATCTTAGAGTTTCATACCTGCTGCTAGCTTATATAATTTCGTAAACTTTATTAAATATAAAATTAATTTACAAGCTTATGAGCTTATCGAAAAGATGGTGGATTGAAATTTAATTAACAATATTAAATATAACATTTATCTGACACTTTCAGAAAGGGAATGATGGATGAATTGCCATCCCTATAGATCAAACTCTCAAATCGTATATGTCGGATCAGAAAAAAGTTACTTATCTTCCACATTTCAGAATTATGTAGAATCATCGATATGTAAAGATTAACTATTGAGAGTATCTCATGCAGATTGAATGCATGCCCAATTGCTGAAATCAATCAAATGATTTCTCGAGCATTACAAAGTGAGTCTCCACCGATTACAAGGGTCTAAATTGTACCGATGTAGGTATTAGTAGCCCACTTAATTAATACAGCGAGCAGCTATGTTCATGCTAAAGCTATGCAACGTTCTGCCAACGTAGGTCATGAGCCTCTTTGCTCGTTGTGCAAAGTTGAGAAAAGTGTAAAACAATTCTTATAGGCAATTGCATGCGTATCTGACGTGGAAACCGGAGTATTTTATGTGCTCAGCTCCCGGCGCAAGTGTTGACCCAGTTGTTAGAGCGTCAGAGAGTGGAATTCCCCTTTGGCTTAAAGCTTATTGAATTTGCGGCAGCATTGGCAATAATCATATTGCCCCCAGCTGCTGCAACTGAGATAGCAGATTCTATGCGACTGCACCGACATGGCGCCGAATGTGGGTCACGTTAAGCGGTCTACAGAAGTCAAATACCGTTAACAAATATTCGCCCACCTTGGATTGCACCAATGCAAGATTTATTTATAATTTATTCTACATAGCCTCTTATATTTGATATATGGATGTAACTATGTACATAGCAGCACTCTCTAGAGAACAGTATATATGTGCGTACTTCACATTGAAATACTCAACTCGAATGCTTGAAGCTCAATTCTTGTGCATAATAAATACACTGATAATATGACACAATTGTGTATTGAAAAATATGATTATCGTTATTAAATGGCAACCTTTTAAAGTTATGGAAAGCTTTAACAAAATCCACTACTGCTGGGGTGAATAATCTGCCGTCAGACCCAATTGGCTCTCCTTTATGTTGTATAACAAACACACTTAATTAATTTTATTTAACATGCCCAGACTGATATGTGGCAACAAATTCATATTTTCCGTATTAAATGACTTTTTTTGTTGCTCGATACTGAAAACTTTTGCCCGATATAATGGCCAACACTCGCCTCTGGCTGTGGCTGACGTCGGCTGTTGTCTGATGTCTGTTGGCTATTGGCTGTTGTCTGTTGTCTGTTGTATGTTGGCCACATGTGTGTCCACAATATGCATGCGACGCGAAAGTAAACAAAGTGTCCGTCCGGCCACGGCTGCACTGATGTGCTGATTAAATGGATATACAATGTCTATCCAACCGCTAGGCAAACAAAAGTCTGTCTGTTCTGCTGCGATTCCAGCTCCAGCTGCAGCTCCTGCTCCAGCTATTCGTCCTGGCAGCCACGGTGTACGCAGCATCGTTGTTTGTATAAATTATAAATTACGAGCGGGACGCATTATCCCAGGTTTTATTGGGCCTAGCCCGACGAGCAGGAAAGCCACATGAAATTTCAATTAAAATAAAAATTTATGTCTTATGTGTCGGCTGTCTTGTCGAGAACATGCTATAATTAAAGCCACATGTTAGTTATGATACGAGCAGCTCGCTAGCGTTTACTCTAATTCTGTTAAAATGGAACATCATTTATCTTGCAGGCGGCTTCATGGGAGATATTGCGCTGCCCGATGGCGGCCCTGTGGTGGCTCACACACCAATCGACGACGAGGAGCTGGAGATGGAGTCGGTGGAACGACTTTTGCCGAATGGGCCGGCTGAGCACATGTCAGCGGATGCGCCGGAGCCCACCAAATACAATGCGACCTTTCAACTGGACCTAGAAAAACTGAAGCAGGAAGTCTACAACGAGGGCCTGCAGGTGGAGGAGGAGGGCCTGACGGACATCATACGCAAAAAAACGAAACTGCCCAGCGCGGGTGCAGCTGGCCACACAACAGGACAGCCACTGACCAAAGCCAGCGGCATTAGCAACAATGATGTTAGCCTGGTAAGTTGGCCGAAGGCCTAAGCGGACTTCCGACCATCACTATTTTTATCTGGCATTGCAGAGCTCCAACGAACCATTAAAGCAGACCGCCCCAGAGACCCCCTCGGACATTGCGCATCCGCCCAGCTACAAGAATGAGGTGTTGACCCAACCGGAGCGCCAGGCAGTCCAGCGGCATCGGAGTGCATCTAATGTGGAGCTGGGTCTCGCTCCCGCATTGCTGCAGTTCAACAAATCACAGGCGCTGCTCCGCAACGTGGACACACGCAAAATACAATCGAACAATAAGGACATTGAGGACGATTCGGGCAATAACTTTGTCGCAGAGCGACGTCAACATATTGTGCCGACGTCGCTGCCCACGCAGAGATCCACAATGGCCAACGTGTACAGCAATGCCGGGGGCAATGGCATGCACCTGGACGACGATGTGGACTTCTTGCATGCGCAGGGCATAGTGCGCAGGAGGCACAGGCGCGGCCCCAAGCATCGGTGAGTTGTCTGGAATCGAGTGTCTAGGAGATTTTATCGTAATTATATTCAAACACAGGACCAATAGTCAGTGGGCGGAGTATGCAAGCAAAGTGCAGCGACTCCGTGAGGAGCTCAATCTTCCGCAGAGCCATCATTCACACCAGCGCCAGCACCACCACCAGCAGCATCTACACAAGAAGCAGAAGCATCGCCAGCATCGTCGAGGTCGAGGTCGCGGCCGAGGCCGCAGCACGGCGTCGCCTCTAAGTGTTTCCCCGACGCAGGCGCAGGCTGATAATGGGCAGCGAACTAAGAATATAAATGGCCATAATATTGAACTGGCAGAGACTCAAGTGCCAGATACAGAGTAAGTTTACAGTTACCATTCCATGGCAGCAACCGCAAGCACCACATCCGTTTCCGGTACCATTTCCTGCCTGCTGTAAATTACTGGCCATTCAATTCAGAGGTTTGGTCCATAAACTTTCCACATACAGCACTCATTTCATATTCACGCACACCCAACCACAACACACTCACACACACACACACAGACACACACACTTCATCAAAATAAAAGTGGATGGCGTTGAAAGTTATGAATTTTAATAGAAATCCGCGTGCCAAAAAGTTTCAGCCAACATTTTTGGATAACTGGCGGCAATTAAAATTACACATACGACATGCATAACCAACTCTTGTTTGAATGGTCCACAACTGCTGCGCAAAATTTTTTAATATGACCACAACTCATTCTCTCTTACCGCCCTCTCGCCTTCTCTCTCCCCCTCATGCACATTGTCGCCTTGCACAGCAACCTGAAGCGGCCGCAGCATCGCAATCGCGTGGCGCGTGCTGTAACCGCCAAAAAGGAGCGCATTTGGGATTACGGTGTCATCCCCTACGAGATCGACGGCAACTTCAGCGGCCTGCACAAAGCCCTCTTCAAACAAGCCATGCGCCACTGGGAGAACTCTACGTGCATCAAGTTTGTGGAGCGCGACGCGGAAATCCATCCCAATTATATTGTATTCACCATACGCAGCTGCGGGTAAGATTATAAATCAAAATATCTATGAGCAGATATACATACGATTATCAACTTTATTGTTAACACTTTAGGATAAGAACTTTTTAGCCTCATAGGAGTCGAAATTTCCACATTTAATTTAAGCCGAATAGAAGAGTGTTAACAAATCGTATTTAGCTTTTATTCAGTTTTTAGGCTGATTTTAAAAATTCAAATGTGCAGTAAAAAGTATTTTCAAAATGATGACATGTCATTAATTATTTAAAATAATTAATTTTATAAATTTTTAAATATAATGTTGCTCATTCAGAAAAGTTGCAGCTGTTTAAAGTTAAAAACCGAGTCCAAATATTATTTATATATACTGCTATTCAGTATTGCTATGAAAAGTCAATTTTGTTGTGGAACACAACCACGAAGAAAGGCTACATAATATATAGTACGTATTACTTAAGTTGTCTATTTGTATACAGTAGTCATTTGGTATTTATATTTTAGTAAAACAAAGCTAGAAGCAATGCTCACTTGAAGCTCGACCGTAACAGCCCCTACCTGGCACCGGGCTCAACATTTGAGAGTGACTTAGGCTTTGAGTGCAAGTAGCCCTATATAAACGGCAGCTGCAGCATTTCTTCATTCACCCAGGCCTAATGTCGTCCAGCTGAGCATCTAAAACAGAGGAAATTCAAAGATACTTGGAAGAAATACTTAGAGGAAATATTTAGAAGAAATGCTTAGAGGAAATATTTGGAAAAACTTAGACGATATTGTAAGAGAACAATCTTAGAGGAAATACGTAGGGGATATGCTTGGAAAAAATACTTAGAAGGAAATACATAGAGGAAATAATTAGAAGAAATTCTTAGAGGAAATACTTACAAGAAATATTTGGAAGAAATACTTAGAGGATATTCCAGTGGACGTATCGTGAAAATCCTTACACTTTATAAGACAAGGGTACATACAAATTTCAATCCCTTAGACTCAAATAAGACGGACGAGCAAATGTAATGTAAATGAAAGCCAATATATTCCAGTTCAATGTAAAAGAATATAAAATCTGATTTTCAAAGATTTAAAGGAAGAAATTTTATGGTTCTCTTTAGATTCCCAATATTTTTTACTCTGGTAACTTAAAAAAAAATTTTTATAAAAAAAAATTATATTGAATATAAGTGTTCTAAGTTATTAAGTCTTTGTCAGACTTTGTCCAACTTCTTAGGTATTTAAATTTCAAATTATATTCCATTGCGTTTATCCCCACAGATGCTGTTCGTTTGTTGGCAAGCGAGGCAATGGACCACAGGCAATTTCAATTGGCCGTAACTGCGACAAGTTTGGCATTGTGGTGCATGAATTGGGTCACGTGGTGGGCTTCTGGCACGAGCACACGCGCCCGGATCGCGAGAAGCACGTGGTGATTGAGCACAACAATATAATGAAGGGGCAGGACTACAATTTTAACATGCTGTCTGTGGATGAGGTTAATTCGCTGGGCATGGCCTACGATTATGATTCGATTATGCACTACGCACGCAACACATTTTCCAAGGGCACCTATCTGGATACAATATTGCCCATCGAAGTCAAGGGTCGCAAGAGACCAGAGATTGGCCAACGCTTGCGGCTCAGCCAGGGCGACATTGCCCAGGCCAATCTGCTGTACAAGTGCCCCAAGTGCGGTCGCACATTCCAGGAGAGCACGGGCCTCTTTGCCAGCCCCGTATTCTATACGGCCGGAGCCGTCAGCAACGAAACCGAGCACTGCGAATGGCGCATAACGGCAACGCATGGCGAGCGCGTGGTCCTGCGGCTCGAGGACATGGTAGGAGGAGAGAGGAAACCAATTCTGACAGTGATTTATGATTATATATTTCCATCATTCCATTAGAATATATTCAAGTCGAACAACTGCGAGACGGACTATCTGGAAATACGCGATGGCTACTACTTCAAGTCGCCGCTAATTGGACGCTTCTGCGGCAAGGTGGCCAGCGAGGTGATCACCACGCAATCCAGTCGCATGCTCCTCACCTATGTGAATTCCCATCGTGCCGACGGCTATCGCGGCTTCAAGGCAGAGTTCGATGGTAAGTAACATAGGGTAGACAAACAGAGAAAGAGAGAGAGAGAGAGTGAGAGAGAGATAGTAAAATAAACGACAAATTTGTGACATTCCTCTTGTCTAGTTGTATGCGGAGGCGAACTGTCCGTAGATGACTCGGAGGGCCGTTTGGAGTCGCCCAACTATCCGCTCGACTATTTGCCAAACAAGGAGTGCGTGTGGAAAATTTCAGTGCCAAAGGGCTTTCAAGTGGCGCTGAAATTCCAGTCGTTTGAGGTCGAAAACCATGATAGCTGTGTCTACGACTATGTCGAAGTGCGAGACGGACCCGCTCAGGATGCGCCGCTAATTGGCGTTTTCTGTGGCTACAAGCCGCCACCGAACATGAAGTGAGTGCCGACAGTGAGTGCCCATGCTCCTGCCCCTGCCCCTGCCCATGCCCATGCCCATGCCCATGGCTGGTCACATCCATATCCACATCCACATTTACAGCCACATCAGCATCGTTGCACATCCACTCAAACCAACTCTGCTTTGTTCATCGTCACTCATTCAGGTCAAGTGGCAATTCGATGTACGTGAAATTTGTGTCGGACACATCGGTGCAGAAGGCGGGCTTCTCGGCCGTATTCATGAAGGAGGTTGACGAGTGCGAGACGCAAAATCATGGCTGCGAGCACGAGTGCATCAACACGCTTGGCGGCTACGAGTGCAGCTGCCACATTGGCTACGAACTGCACAGCGATAAGAAGCATTGCGAGGGTAAGTCATTGTCGTTGTTGTTGTTGTTGCTGTTGTTTTGGTCATTGCGGCTATTAGTCTGGCTGGTGTGGGTGCTGCGCCCGCATCCGGCACATTAGGCGCGTTAATCAATTGTTGTGCTAATGACCTTATCGACGTGTGCTCTATCAATTTACAGATGCCTGCGGCGGTGTCATCGAGTATCCTAACGGGACAATTACCTCGCCCTCGTACCCCGAAACCTATCCGATGCTGAAGGAGTGCGTTTGGGAGATTATTGCACCGGCCAAACACAAAATTTCGCTGAACTTTACGCATTTCGATCTGGAGGGCACTGCACATCAGCAATCCGACTGCGGTTACGATTCGGTGACCATCTACTCCAAGCTCTCAGAGAATCGCCTAAAGCGCATTGGCACCTACTGCGGCAGTGCGATTCCGCCCACCGCCACCTCGGACGGCAATGCGCTGCGCGTTGAATTCCACTCGGACAAGTCCATTCAGCGCACGGGCTTCGCAGCCGTATTCTTCACGGACATTGACGAGTGTGCCGTGAACAATGGGGGCTGCCAGCACGAGTGCCGGAATACCATTGGCTCATACCTCTGCTTCTGCCACAATGGCTACTCGCTACATGAGAACGGGCACGACTGCAAGGAGGGCGAGTGCAAGAACGAGATATCGGGCTCATTCGGCACCATCTACAGTCCCAACTACCCGGACAACTATCCGCCCAATGCCGACTGTGTGTGGCACTTCTCCACAACGCCCGGACACCGTATCAAGCTCATATTTAACGAGTTCAATGTCGAATCGCATCAGGTGAGTTATAGTTGTAGCTGCATTAGACAGCATATCTGCAATACTTCCTTGTTCTCTTGTTCAGGAATGCGCCTATGATAATGTGGCCATCTATGATGGTGAGTCGGAACTGAGTTCCCTGCTGGGACGATTCTGCGGCGAGAAAATACCCTATCCCATATCTTCCACAACCAACCAGCTCTATATGGTGCTGAAGACGGATAAAAACAAGCAGATGAATGGATTTATGGCAATGCATTCGACGTGTGAGTATTCTACTAGCATTGCGTCATTAGGAAGCCAAGCTAATATTTTTGATTTTGTTTGCAGCCTGCGGCGGGTATCTGCGCGCCACAAATCAGATCCAACAGTTCTATTCCCACGCGCGATTCAGCAACCAGGATTACGACGACAACATGGACTGCGAGTGGACCATTCAGGCGCCGCCGAACCGGAATGTGCAGCTGATCTTCCTCACGTTCGACATTGAGAGCAGCGAGAACTGCACCTATGACTACGTGCAGGTGTTCTCCGGCATGGAGGACACCAGCGGTCCCATGTATGGCCAGTACTGTGGAAATTCGGTAAGCTGAAGCTCACCTGGCGGACCACAGCTCATTGTCTGACTCCTTATCTCCTTGTTGTCTCCCACTGCGCATTTCAGCTGCCACAGGACATCATCTCGATGACTGACTCGCTACTGGTGCGCTTCAAGACGGACAGCTCGGTGCCAATGAAGGGATTCTCGGCATCGTATGTGGCCGTTGATCCGTTCAAGAACAGCGATGAGGATATGGAGAGCTCGTACAGCTCCGAGATGGTCACACCCTTTCCAGGCTCACTCAAAAGCATATACAAGGAGGATACCGAGGAGACGGATGACTACAGTGACTTCAGTGAGAACCAGCTGGTGAATGCTCAATATCGTGGACGCCATATCTTACCCATTAGCTATTCATCGTGGACGAATTAGGAAGATTGGAAGATCAGGAAGACTCGCCGGACACGCTGTAAACGCACGAAAATCATGACAATATATTAAAACGGAATTTATTTAACTATTTAGGCATATCGTCGCGTACATATAGCAACATTTTGCTCTCTTAACATATAATTATACATAGACTTCATTTTGACCATAATCAAATATTAAGTATACATAGATATTCAGAACAAATCTTTAGGGTATAGCACTTCAAGCATATCGCGAAAAATGGGGAAGCAGCACTCGTTAGCTTTACGAAATAATTCGATCGGTTCTCAAATGAACCCACAACCAATTTATGTGTATCAATATCAAAGGATTTATGTGTGACATTCATAAACACTAATCAGTTGCCATATAATACTATTTATTCATATCTTCCATAAAACACTTCCTTAACGCGGCATCCATCTATACATGTATAACGTATATACTTGGTATCTATCCTAGTGTAAAACAACTCTAAGCTCAATGTGCAATTTTTTTAAATCTTTTTGAATTATTTTCGACTTTCGAATTTTTGTTTTCTTCTTATTTTCGTTTTTTTGTCACTTGGAAGTTCCTGTTACACTTACTATGAGATTCTTCGAGTAATACTACGACAAAGCATTTTCTGGGCAATACTTTCTATTCCTAGTGCATTTTCGATACTTCAATTTAGCCTAAGCGCAACATTTTATACGTAAAAGAGCGGATTATGTGTATGTATAGTATGTTTCATTTATGACTCTTTGCATCAACTTAATACGTAATTAAATATATTACCTAATAATTAGAATGTTTAAAACAGTAAAAACCCGAAATAACAATTGCATTTTTTACTTAAGTAGAACGCCTCAAAGCTGACCCTTGAGAATCCGGGGCTGGGTCATATTCAAATATTCGTTCATTTGCTGGATTTATGATGTGTTATTAATGACCTGCCCTAAAATGCCGAAGGCAACACCTGATCCCGATGTCAGCGGTAAGAGCTGAGAAAACAGCTCGAAGAGCTCGCGCGCTTAGCTCAATCCTCAGGTAGACAGGTAGAAGACAATGTCAAGGGACAGGAATACCCAAATCAAGTCCATTGAAAGCAAACAATCAACAGGCCGAACAGACAATGGGCGACTTTGAAATGCCAATGAGGATGGCCCGAGCTCAGTACCGGTCGCGTTCCAAAGCTGAATGCTCTTCGTGTGCCTTGTTCTTGTTGTTGTCGATGGCGACAGATCAGGTTGCGATGGGTTGCGTCGCGTTGCGTGTTGCTACAACAACTCCTGCCTGATATCTCGATCTTGATGCCCTCGTCCGCACGCTCCCGCTCTAACAGCGGCTGTCCCTCTTTCCCTTTCGTTGATCTCGTATACCTGTGTCATGCGAACCCTTACGAGTCTCAGCTCAGATATAATTCGGCAATCGCTGCATTCGGGAATTCAGTTATAGCTCTCAACTGGACCGGCACGGTCGTGTCACTCGCCTTAAGAACAAACAAGACTACGCGAATCATGCTATTGAAAGTGAAATTGTTTTATTTGTTTGCGGGATCATTGGCATTCGCATTCCACTTCGACGAGGCACATGGCAAGGGATGGCCACGCGCTCCATTGGAGGACGATTACGATTTTGATTTCAAGGAACAGCCAGAGGACTTTTACAGCATGGTAAGAGCTTAAGCATACTAAATACTTCCAAAGACTCTAATACTTGTGGCTGCAGGCAACTGTGACATATGAACAGCAAGCTAATACTCATTCGGAAGTTGGACTGCTAGAGTTTAGGTCACAAACATCAGAGCTCAGACCTCAGGCGCAGCATATCAAAAGAGAATATGCAAAGAGGATTTCATTTCGGTGAGTTTCAAACGCATTGAATTTGAGGTGAGGCACGTGCTTCCCCACAATATTCCACAATATGCGAAAATTAGTCAACAATCTAAATTGTGCTATTCAAACGGCTTTTGTCCACTTGAGTGAAACAATGGAAATAAATGAGGCACGAATTTAACATGCTCACTCTATCCATTGCAGAAAGCACATCCGACAACATAGCACATCACAGGATTCTGTCCCGACTCATGCAAATCCCAAGGAAGAGCCGCCGCTACTCTGGACTGACGAGTCGAATGACTTTCTGCCAGCTAGTCAACGGTTTCGACGGGGCGTCACTGTGCGCAAGGAGCGTACATGGGACTATGGGGTCATTCCATATGAGATTGACTCCATATTCAGCGGCGCTCACAAGGCGCTGTTTAAGCAGGCGATGCGCTACTGGGAGAACTACACGTGCATCAAGTTTGTGGAGCGCGATCCAAAGGTGCACACCAACTACATTTACTTCACCATCAAGAGTTGCGGGTGAGTCCAATGCGCCCTGAAGTCCAATAGGCCTCATTACTAACCAAGGCACTTCCAATTTAGTTGCTGCTCTTTTCTGGGCAAGAATGGCAGTGGGCGACAGCCCATCTCCATTGGGCGCAACTGCGAGAAGTTCGGCATCATCATCCACGAGCTGGGCCACACGATCGGGTTTCATCATGAGCACGCTCGCGGGGATCGGGACAAGCACATCATCATCAACAAGGCAAACATAATGCGTGGCCAGGCCTACAATTTCGACGTTTTGTCGCCGGAGGAGTTCGACGAGCCGCTCTTGCCGTACGATTACAATTCCATTATGCACTATGCCAAGAACTCCTTCTCGAGGAGTCCATATCTAGACACGATCACGCCCATTGGCTTACCGAAAGGCGCCCAAATTGAGCTGGGCCAACGGCGCCGCCTCAGTCGAGGCGACATTCTGCAGGCCAATCTGCTATACAAGTGCGTCGCCTGTGGACGCACCTTTCAGCAGAACAGCGGGCAGATTGTGTCTCCTGAATATGTTTACACGGAGAACGGTGTAGTCAATGAGTATGAAGGCAGCGGCGATGACGGCGTTAAGGAATCCGCTGATAACAGCTGCGAGTGGCGGATTACCGCTACCAATGGCGAAAGGATCATTTTGCATCTCCAGGATCTGCAGCTAATGTCCTCGGAGAACTGTACGAAGGACTACTTGGAAATCCGTGACGGCTATTGGCACCGATCTCCGCTCGTTCGTCGCCTCTGCGGCAATTCCAGCGGCGAGATAATCACGACCGATACGAGTCGCATGCTGATCAATTATGTTAATCGCAATGCTGCTCTGGGTTATAGGGGATTTAAGGCTCGCTTTGAAGGTGAGTTGGAAACACCAATCGAGGGACAATATAACTCACAACTTAACTTGCAGTGGTCTGCGGTGGAGAGATTCACTTGAGCAAGGGTCAGTCCATAGATTCGCCCAACTATCCGCTAGAGTATATGCCTGGCAAGGAATGCATATGGCGGATTACAGCCCCACCCAACCATCAGGTGGCGCTCAAGTTTCAGTCCTTTGAGCTCGAGAAGCACGACAGCTGTATCTATGATTACATTGAAATACGTGACGGCAGTCGAAGCGACTCGAAGCTGATCGGACGCTTCTGCGGCGACAAGCTGCCGCCCAACATCAAGTGAGCAAACCAAATATAATCCTTTAAGACCACATGAATACATTGATTAAATCTTACTTAGGACTCACAGCAATCAGATGTTCATCAAGTTCGTGTCGGATGGCTCTGTCCAAAAGCTGGGCTTCTCCGCGGCACTCATGCTGGACGTGGACGAGTGCAAATTCATGCAGCACGGATGCCAGCACATATGCATTAACACCTTGGGCAGCTACCAGTGCGGCTGCCATGCTGGCTACGAGCTCCAGGCCAATGGGAAATCCTGTGAAGGTATTTGAAGTACTTTTCTTTACTCTCGTTTTACCTCTGAACTCTCTTGTTCTCGTCTTCTCACCTCGACCGTGCTTATCTTTTCTCAGTTACTTTTTGCATCCTATATCCTATCCTATTCTCCTATATTCTATTCTCTTATCAACCCGCTATTATCTCTTCTCATAAATTCCCATCTTTTGGATTCATTACAGATGCATGCGGGGGCATTGTGAATGCTACAGTATCCAACGGAACAATTTATTCACCATCTTATCCAGATCTGTATCCCAATGCCAAGAAGTGTGTATGGGAGATCGTGACTTCGGTGCATCACTCAGTGTTCCTCAACTTTACACACTTTGATCTGGAAGGCACTAAATTCCAGTATACCAAGTGCAGTTATGACTATCTCATCATCTACTCGAAGATGCGGGACAACCGGCTGAAGAAGATCGGCATATTCTGCGGCAACGAGCTGCCGCCTATTGTGAACTCAGAGCAGAATGTACTGCGGGTGGAGTTCCACTCGGATCGTACAATACAACGAAGCGGGTTCGCGGCCCAATTCATACTAGGTGAGTAGAAAAAGCGGGTTTATATGATTTGTGATACAATCCCTCCTCCTCTTCATGCTCCACAGATGCGGACGAGTGTGCAGTGAACAACGGAGGCTGCCAGCACAGATGCCGGAACACCTTTGGCGGATACCAATGCAGTTGCAGGAATGGCTACACTTTGAACAAGGACGGACACAACTGCACGGAGACCAAGTGCAAGTTCGAAATCACCTCGTCGTATGGCGTGCTACACAGTCCCAACTATCCCAACGACTATGCGCGGAATATCTATTGCTATTGGCACTTCCAGACGGTGCTCGGACATCGCATCCAGCTGACGTTCCACGACTTCGACGTGGAGAGTCATCAGGAGTGCATATACGACTATGTGGCCATCTACGATGGTCGCTCCGAGAATAGCTCTACGCTGGGCATCTACTGTGGCGGGCGGGAGCCGTATGCTGTGATTGCATCCACAAATGAGTTGTTCATGGTCCTCAAGACGGATGCTGGCCTGCAGCGCAAAGGCTTCAAAGCGACATTCTCATCCGAGTGCGGCGGCTACTTGCGGGCCACGAATCACACGCAGATTTTCTACTCCCATCCACGATACGGCAGCCGATCTTATAAACACAATATGTACTGTGACTGGCGCATCGAGGCGGATCCAGATAGCAGCGTGAAGATCAAGTTTCTTCACTTCGAGGTCGAGTTCTCTGAACGATGTGATTACGATTTCCTGGAAGTCACCGAGGAGGGCAACGCGATGAACACCATCCATGGGCGCTTCTGCGGCAAACGCAAGCCACCAATAATTATTTCCAACTCCGACACGCTCCTTTTAAAGTTTCAAACAGACGAAAGCAACGCACTCCGTGGATTCGCCATATCCTTTGTGGCAGTCGAGCCACCAGACGACGATGGAGGCGACGACTTTGATGCAGTAACGCCATTTCCTGGTTATCTTAAGAATATGTACGCTGAAACGGCACTAGGCGAAGAGCAACCAGTTCAACATGGACATATTTTGCCGCCCAGCAGTCTAATTTAAATTAAGTTTTATGGTGTTGTAAATAAACTTGTAAATACATTTTAAAAACAAAATTAAGAAACAAAAACAAAATCATGTGTTTTGAATTCGCCGCTAACTTAAAAATTGCCATTCACCTGAATTTAACAGAGCTGTTACTTATAAACAACATGCGCCAAAAAATACCAAAAACGCATTCGGTGCAAAGCAACTCTAGCAAGCTGTTTTCAAAATGGCAACGGCGTCGACGGCGCTTCATTTCGACTCGACATTTTGATAGTTGATTTTTGTTCTGTTAATGTTTGAACTATTTTATTTTGCTGTTACGTTTTGTTTATACCTTCAAGTGTGTGAAGTGTGTTTATTAAGTCTTCATTGTTTGTGAGTGTCGTCAAAAAGTTGTTTCTCATATCAGGATGAGTGCATTCGAAGTAAGTTCAAATGCGATACAAAGGAGGACTCGTTTAATTTGTGTCTATATTTGAATATATAGGTAACTGTGACCCCGACCCGTCTAAAACAAAAGAAATGCTCCGAGATTCGCCAGCCGGTAGATGTGGTCATGGCGCCATTTTCGGCTAAAGCGATTGTGCAATTCGAGGATGTGCCCATTACCAAGACCGCAAAGCGCATTCTGCGTGTAATTAATCCTAGCAATGATGACATTGAGGTTAGTTAGAAACAAACACAGAGACAAAGGCTAGATATAGATCAGCTGCTCGCCTGTCGTCGGCTTGGCAACTTGGCGCGCCCCGTTTATTTGATCAATGGCTGCTAACCCAATTCGTTTATAGGTCAAAGTAACCAAGGCCATCAGAGACGAGCACAATGTCAAGCTTGAATGGACAGAAACAAATGTGCCCGCCCAAGACGAGGTATCCATGGAACTGGTTTGGATTCCACAGATGGAAATTGCATGCAAAGAGACGCTGCAATTGATAGATAATCGCAATTTTCGCAAGGATGTCATGGTTATACTCAAGTCCAGAAGCCTTCAGCCGGCAAGGGTAAGAAGCAGCAGTTGCATCGTGCCGAAATTTGAATTCATCCCCTATAATACATTTTTTCTTTTTCTACCTGAAGACGACACGCAAATTCCCGACAGTCGGTAAGACGCTACAGCTAAAATCTCCGACTGGCAACAGCAAATCTCACAAGTCCCTCAATACGTCAGTGAATCAGAAAAAACGCTTGTCCAGTGCGCCAGCGAACGCAACAACAACTGCAACAACTGTGAAGAAACATTGGGTTAACGTGCCAGCGGCACGCGTAAAACGAGTTGTGTCTGAAACAAAAGCGCCGCTAAGCGATCGCAATGTATTTGAGGCGGCGCCTCCTACCTATAACAGAACTGAAATGAAGGGATACGTGTCGCCACAGCCTCTCAGCTGCAAGGAAAATGTTAGTCCTCTGACACCGGGAAATGTATTCAGTTTAATTGATGACATGCAATTCACTCCGCTGACCAACAAGGCAAATGGAGCGTCTTCGGCAGCTCCCCTGACAGATAATTTAGCTGCCTGGCCTACTCCAAAACTGAATGAAAACGGATCTCATATGCACAATCCCGCCAGCGCGTTGCGGCCCCGTCGACTTGGGTCAGCGCTGGACGAGGACCAGCACAGTGCCAACGACGGAGGCCAAGTTATTGTGAACAAAACATTCGATATCAAGCTCTCGGATACAATGAACATTTCCGTTGACACTTTGGACTGTTCACCCAGAAATCAACTAATGCAAACGCCAACGCTCGTTCTGAACAAGACGACGGTTATAGGGCAAGCAACACAGCCGCGTGCCTTGGCCTGTATACGCGAGGAGGGCCCTAGCCCCCCGAAGCTGGAGACACAATCTCCACCCCCAAGGAGCAAAGTGCATGATCTGAAGCGGGACGTAAACCTTATTGGCTCGCCGTTGCGGAAATACTCAGAGTCTATGGGTAATCTTTCGTTGTTGTCGCCACAGTCTAAGTTTGCCATACAGGGCTCCATGCCTAACTTGAATGAAATACAGAAGATTTCCTCCATTGACCAGAATCGGTACTATCAACAACAGCAGCCGCCGGCGCCATCACAGCAGGCGGTCAAACAATTTGTAAATCCGTCTCTCGACAGCTCCTGCAGCAGTGAAACGAGCGCAGTGTCGCAGCCTGATGTGCTCTTCAATCATTGCGAGATTCTAGCTCAATCCAGTCGCTTCAATTTGCACGAAGTGGGTCGCCAAACGCGCCAGGGAAGTCCTGTCACAGAAAGGAAGCAGGTCAACGGAGCTGTCATTGGGTACAAGCGGCGCTGCCATGAGCTGAGCTTCTCAGATGCACCCAGCAACGAGTCACTGCATCGCAACGAGACGCTAGCCATCTCACCACCCAAACGGCAGCGATTCGAGAGCAGCAGCAACTTGACGCCCGCCAACGCTTCAGCGAGAGGCAAGAAGGCATGGTCCCAGACGCAGCCGAAGAAACTGAAATTGGCACAGACGATGTCGCTGATGAAGAAACCCGCCACACCGGTCAAGAAACGAAATCAAACTACAGTTAAGCTCTATAATTCCGACCTCTATATGCAAACCTACATCAATCCGGATCCATTTGCTGCAACCACGACTATCGATCCATTTCTGGCTTCGACCATGTACTTGGACGAGCAGGCTGTGGAGCGCCACCAGGCGGACTTTATAAAGTGGCTGAATGCATTAGTGAGCATTCCCGCTGATCTGGATGCGGACAGCAATAACAAAATTGATATAGGCAAGCTGTTCAATGAGGTGCGCAACAAGGACCTGTCGCTGGCGCCCACGAAGGAGGAACAATCGATGAACTATTTGACCACGTCTCGTCTGGAGTCGCTGCGTCGCGCCGCCGTCGAGTTGTTCTTCAGCGAGGAAATGCGCCTGCCCTGCTCCAAGGTCGCCGTCTATGTGCAGAAGCAGGCGCTGCGCATCCGAAGTGATCGCAACCTGCATCTGGACATGGTTATGCAGCGCACCATATTGGAGCTGCTGCTATGCTTCAATCCCCTCTGGCTGCGTCTCGGCCTCGAAGTGGTGTTTGGCGAGAAGCTGCATCTGCAATCGAACCGCGACATTGTGGGCTTAACTACTTTCATCCTAAATCGCCTGTTCCGCAACAAATGCGAGGAGCAAAAGTACAGCAAGGCGTATACGCTGACCGAGGAGTACGCGGAGACCATTAAGAAGCACACGCTGCAGAAAATACTATTTCTGCTGCTGTTCCTCGACCTGGCCAAGCAGCGGCGCATCATCAAGCACAATCCCTGCCTGTTCGTCAAGAAGTCGCCGCACAAGGAGACCAAGGACATTCTGCTGCGATTCTCCTCCGAGTTGCTGGCCAACATTGGTGACATAACGCGCGAGCTGCGCCGCCTGGGCTACGTACTCAAGCACAAGCAGACCTTCCTCGACGAGTTCAACTATGCTTTCAGCAATCTAGCCGTTGATCTGCGCGATGGCGTCCGGCTCACGCGTGTCATGGAAGTCATCCTGCTGCGCGACGATCTTACCCAGCAATTGCGTGTTCCGGCCATTTCAAGGCTGCAGCGCATTTTCAATGTGAAGCTGGCCCTGGGCGCCTTGCGCGATGCAGACTTCCAGCTGAGTGGCGACATCAGTGCCGCCGACATAGTGGATGGATATAGAGAGAAGACGCTCTCCCTGCTGTGGCAGCTGTGCTACAAGTTTCGTTCGCCCAAGTTCCATGCTGCCGCCCGAGTCGTGCAGGCCTGGTGGCGCCGTCGCTGGCTGAGAGTCGTTATCAAGCGTCGCATTCGCGAACGCGCCGCTATTCGCATACAAACCGCCTTCCGGAGCTACCAGGCTCGCAAGTATGCCAAATCCTACAGAGAGGAACGTCTGCGGGCTGTCATCGTCCTTCAGAAATATACCCGGCGATACCTCGCCCAAAAGCACTTCGCTCAGATGCATCAAAGCATTGTCCTCATTCAGGCCTGGTGGCGTGCCAATCGTCAGGCCCGTCAATGTCGCCAGGAGCTCCTCCAGCTGCGCAAAGCGACGATATTCCTGCAACGCATATGGCGCCGTCGCCTGTTCTGCAAGAAGTTGCTGATGGCTGCCAGTGCTGCGCGTCGGCAACTGGATCAAAAGCGCTACGCAGCCGCTTCCTGTATAGAAATGCGTTGGCGCTCTTATCGTATGGCCAAGGAGCAGCGTAGGATCTATGTTCGTCAGCGCGAACTCATCATCTTTGTACAGCGAACCGTGCGGAGCAAGCGGCTAATGCAGGATGCGCGAAAGCGTTTCCAGCTACTGCGAAGCTCTGCAGTGGTAATCCAAAGATGCTATCGAGCCCGCTTACAGATGCTCGAGGCCCGTCGCTGCTTCTTAGATAAACGTCGGAGCGTTATAGTTCTGCAGCGCTGCTGGAGAGCAAAGCTGGAGATGCGAGCACAGGTTGCCAAATATCAAAGGCTTAAAACGGCCACCATATTGATACAGAGAAGATATCGGGACCTTCTCCTGATGCGTCAGCAACGCAGTGCTTTTCTACAGATGAGAAATGCGGCCATTGTGTTGCAGAGATGTTGGCGCACTCGGCAATCGACCCGCACCCAGCGGGAGCAGTATCAGCGTCTGCGCCAGGCGACGATACTGATGCAGCGCCGCTTCCATGCAAACAAAGCAATGCGCATACAACGCGCCAGATATCGGGGCACCCAGGCAGCTGTCGCCTGCCTGCAGATGCATTGGCGCAACTATTTGCTTGGAAAGAGTCACCGCCAAGCCTTCGTAGCTCAGCGCAAGGCAGCCATAAGGATCCAGAGATGGTTCAGAGGCTGCCTGGCCGTGCGGTCTGCTCGCAGTAACTATCGACGCCAACTGGCTGCAGCCACTCGCATTCAGCTCTGGTGGCGAAGCCTGCTAGTCATGCGCGTAGCAAAGAAGCAATATCAGCAGCTGCGCTCAGCTGCGATTTCGATTCAGCTTAGGTTCCGGGCCACGCTGATCATGCGCCAACAACGCTCGGAATTTGTAAAGCTCCGACAAATCGCAATCCATTTGCAGCAAAAGTTCCGCGGAAAACGTCTGATGCTGGAGCAGCAAGCGCATTTGCAGCTCCTAAGGCGCTCCACTTTGGTCTTCCAGTCCTATGCGCGCGGCTATTTAGCGCGCAAGCGCTTCCAGGCCCTGATGACTCCCGAAATGATGGAGTATCTCAGCCAGAAACGGGCGGCCAAGGTGATTCAGCGCTACTGGCGTGGCTATCGTACGCGCAAGCACCAGCGGCACGCCAGAATTCTGGCCATAAGACGGCGCCTCTTGCAGCTTCGCCAGGAGGCGACGGCCTTCAATTCGGTGCGCGCCAAAGTACAGGACTCTGTACGTATACTACGTGGGCGTTTCATCGCCTCGGATGCTCTAGCCGTTCTCAATCAGCTAGGTTAGTAGATGATATTTGGATTTTACCTAGTTACTAATATGCCATTTGTTTTGATTGCAGATCGTCTCTCCCGCACCGTGCCACATCTGCTCATGTGGTGCTCCGAGTTCATGTCCACCTTCTGCTATGGCATCATGGCGCAGGCTATTCGCTCGGAGGTGGACAAGCAGTTGATTGAGCGATGCAGTCGCATCATTCTCAATCTGGCGCGCTACAACAGCACCACGGTTAACACGTTCCAGGAGGGCGGTCTCGTAACCGTCGCCCAAATGTTACTCCGCTGGTGCGACAAGGACAGCGAAATCTTTAACACGCTCTGCACGCTGATATGGGTATTTGCCCACTGCCCCAAGAAGCGAAGGGTTAGTTTCCTGCTCCAGTCTAGTCGTTCACTCTTGACATGATATCATATTTCAATTGCAGATAATACACAATTTCATGAGCAACACCGAGGCGATTTACATGGTGCGGGAGACGAAGAAACTCGTCGCCCGCAAGGAGAAGATGAAACAGAATGTGCGGAAGTCAACGGCTCCTGTCAGTGGCTCCGGTCGTCATGGACAGCAGATGCCCAATTTCTCGCCGCGTTCCTTGCCCAGTCTGGAGCCAGATTTCGGCATAATACGGGGTAGGCCCTATACGTTCATATCATCAGTGTTTGCCTTTGACACGATTCTTAGTAAGCTTCACATTGAATTATTTTAAGAGATGGATACTTTTTAAGTAGGCGTCAGAGCTCGTCTGAAATCGATAGTTCAATGTTATATATAGACTCTTGTCATTTTTGTATTCTACGTATTAAGTTATGTTGTGTAAATTTCAAAAATAAATGAATAAACGATGCGTTTTTATATAATTCAAACTATATACTTCGCATTATTGCAATGACTTCTTATATTTGGCACGATTTTGCAGTGCTAAATTTGATGTTTATTTGAATAAGGTTCACAAAACATTTAAATATATTTAAATTTAAATAATAACGTTGTTTCAATAATTTATTAATTACATCAATTTTTCAAATACACATATTTTAATGTACATATATATAACACATTTTTATATATATATACTTGGTAAATATATTTGGTTTACGCGATTCGGTTACAACGAATGATCCTGTTCGGTGTGGGAGACAGAGTGCCCCAGATACATACACATAAATATATATATTATATATATAATAATGCCCCATTAAAATGTACATACATATATAATATTTATTTAAGTTTGATTAAATCGAATAAATATGTATAATCGAATATATATATTCTTTGTATGTCTGTTCATATTTCAATTGCACACGTCATTTGGTTTAGTTTTGTTTTTGTATTTGGTTTAGAAATATATTTATTTAATTTTTTTGTGATGTTTTTTGTTGCATTTATATCGTAAAATTAAGATTAAAATGTTGCTGTAGCTTAACGCATCAATTGGAAAAAAACTAAAATTTAAATTTAAGCATTTTATATTTATTTAAAAGGAGCGAAGTCTACGCAATGTTCTCAGTTTTAGATTAGTTTTTGAATGTTAATTAAGTGCGCCTCCTGTTCACGTCTGAGCCCATTGATAGTCATATAATAATTAAAATTGTATATTAGTGGCTCACAATTGACATCCGAATAGACTCGAGAGTTGACCTCCTAACGCCTACCAAGGCCAAAGTTAAACGGCTGTGGGCGCGTCGTCCGCTTGTTTTGCCGACTTCCTCCTCGGCCTGCAAATGAGATAAACAAATACAATTCCCTCTCCATTCACTCCCTCTCTCTCTCTCTCTCTCTCTCTCTCTCTTTTTCTCTCACACACACACTGGAGTCTAGACTCACCCAAGGCTGCCATGAAGCCGGGCGGCAGTGCCCTGTAATCAATCTCGTTGTCCTCCTCGTCCTCGTAGTCACTGCGCTTGCCCAATCCAAACGAATATGGACGCGATCGCTTGCCCAGTCCAAAGTTATAGACCGGCAGGCGCTTCATGCCGGGTCCTCCATTGTTGTACATGTAGGCGCGTCGACCCAGCCCAAAGGCGTAACGCTCCATCCGCTTGTCGATGTCGCCTCCAGCTTCCTGCACATCCTCACCCGCATTCAAAAGCATGTCGTTGTCGCCGTCATTGACACTGGAGACATGGTTCCGTGCCTCGTCCTGGGCAATTACCGGAGTGCAGCAGACATAGCCCAGGCAGCAAAGCGCCAGGAAGAGCAGTTGGGTGTGCAGCATATTCATCTCACAGATATGAACGAACGTGTCGTCTATCTATCAATCCGTATCTGCAAGGTGTACAAAGTCGATGTAGGCAACAATTCATTTACGCACTTTAAGGAGTATATTGGTTCTATGGAAAAGCTACGTTTGCTAGACACTTGCCTATTTCAGTGCATGGTAAAAATGTTATGTAATATTACCGTTGCTGATCTCTGACCTCTAATAATCAATAATCAACATATGTATTGTATATCATATCTTTATTCCCACAAATTGAAAATTACTATATAGGGTATATAGTGTATACTTATATATATATATATCTATATATATATATGTATATGGAGTATATATATGAAGCATATATTTCATATATATTTATTTATATACATTTAGATATTTATTAATCCATTATTTAATCCATTTCCTAAGCGCAAAATTATTGGAATTTAACATTTTAATACGTATTACATTACTCTTGGTTTTCTTTGTTGCTTAAATTGATGTATGCAGACTTAAAGCTGTAGAACTATATTCATGAGGGTTTGCCTTTTTTTACAGTTTGACCTTTATCTTCTAACCGGCCTCCTAACCACCTAAATACGGGGCTTAGGTAAATCTTTTAAATCCGATATGCTTAAAATTTCTTATATAAATTTTCGCAGTTATTTTGTTCATAAAACCTTAAAATTTCAAGTTTTTCAAAATATTTATATATTTTTTTTAGTTTTCATCCGGGAACAAATATTGATAATACATCTTTAATATTATTTTTTTTTATATACGTATATATTTTTAACATGATTAGTTTTTATATGCAAATAGTTTTCAGGAATAAAAAAACAAAAAAATGTTGCATCTGCTCAATTCAGTATTCAAATTGATTCAAATTATAATATTTAGCATTCCTGACGCTTGCACAGCTAATATACCCCACCACGCTTGGGCGATCGATGAAACAGGAATTTCGCTGGCATGAAAAACAAATACATGCTCGAACATATGTCAAATGGGCAACAAATTTTAGCACGCTGACAGTCAAGCGACAAGCAGCAAAAAGAACAAAAATTCGCATTGGTACGCTGAAAAATGCGGTCTGGCTTTTCAAGAGGCAAGAGAGCAACAGCTAAAGAGGACTTTAAGCCTCTTCTTAAAATGCAGCCGAGAATATATTTTTTGCTGTCCTTGCAAGCTGTACGCCGAAGTTAGTGTCTTGAGTTCTGGAACTCATCAGAATGGGGTTTGGTGCGCGCCTCAGGCCCTGGCGCTGCGGAGCCAATGTCCTTGTCACTGAAGTTTGCTGAGTGCGTGGTATGCATAGCTTAATCCTTGGACGGGTGCGACAATTAAGTTTGCGAGCAGCGCTACTATTAAACTTGGCAAATTTTTAGTGGTAGCTGGCAGCTGTCAGCGCCGTTTAGCAGGCGATAAACGGGCTGCCGGAGTGACGCTCATGTCCGTTCAGTGCTGTGTGGCACTGTCAGTGCGTGGAGCGCATTGTCATTGGCGTTAATGTGACGCGCTGAAGACTTGGTAATTGAAAGTACATAACAGTAAACAGAATAGAATATGCCGCCGCCATCACACTGTGTGGCCTTTGCAATGGCTGTCTGCACTTCCGCTTCCTGGCTGCGCCGCTCGAGTGCTCAAGCACTCCGAGCACGTACCAGCTGAAGGGCTGGAACTGAATGGCAACTGCCAAGTGTTATTGTAGTTGTTCTACTCTGCCGTTTCTATTATTTCAGTGTGTGCGATAGTCCACTTGTTGTGCTTGCTTAAGACAATTTTCAATTAGCCCGCGACTTTCCGACTCTCCGACTTTCGGGCCTCCTCGGGTCATTGTTGCCCTTTCTGGACATAATTTAATGCGTTAAAGCGCCGCGAGGCTTAGGGCTCAATGGCAACTGATGGCACTGCGCAAATCCCCAATACGCGCTGGAACACTTAATGATGGGACAACAAAATACGTTCAATGTTAATTTGTAGAACATGCCGCTATAGCCTTTGAAATCTACATCTGTGAAATTGCACATACGCCGCGTTGACACCCATAAATTGCAGCTATGCGTGCGTGTGTGTGTGTGGGACACAACAACAAATCATGCAACAGGTTACACACACACACACACACATGGACACACACATATGCAGTAGCCACAGCGCCAAGGGCGTAAAAGCGACCCGGCCATGATTTACAATCATGGCAGCTGAAAAGCAGCAGCAGCTGCGCCCATTTCCACGCCGCACCATAAAAGCATCGGGCAACGGGTAACACGAGCCGCACTGCCGTTGGTAATAGGCGGAAAATCGTCACATTCACCGGACTTTATCAGGCGACATCAGGCGACATAGACATGGACTAGTGTTGACAGTCATACCGCAATCGTAAATCTGCAAAGCAAAACGTTCTGCAAAACGTCCCAGCTCTTGGCCAGCAACTTGCTTGTTCCCGCATTATTGCAAACCATAAACCTTTCGTTGCCGTTGCCGTTGCCTGTGTCGGTGCCGTTGCAAACAACACCTTAGCCGCATTATCTGTTTATGAATTTATGGCCATAACTTTCGGTTGAGCTTGCCCTGTGGCTTTCTCATATCCGGCTGCGAAAATGCAGCGGAAATTCAAAATGGTCTTTGCTGTCTTCTAATTAAGTTGTGAAAACTTTGCAGACCCCAAGAATTGCCAAATTGCCCAACGCAATTACTTAAGAAAGCAGCTGGGCCAAAGGATATGAGCAGCTGAGCTGGGCCATCTTCAAAGCAAACGCCAGCAGCAATTTCAGCTCATATAGCTGAGCAAATGAGGCAAAAATTAGATTTGCCGCAATTGAAAACGCACGCAATTTGTGCATACATTTCTTTAAGAATACCCTCAATGCTCATTTGTATTAAGGAGTATATTGGTTTTAATTTTGTTACTCTTTCTGTTTGTCAGCCTGTTAGGCTCCCTAGTTAGAATAGAAATTTGGAATACATATTTTTGAAAGTATATCTTACTTAGTATTTTAAAGTTCATTATTGATAAGCCCTTGCATTCTCAAATTATATCATTTGGATATGTTCCAAGCTTTAATCACAAGAAAATGTAACCAATTAGTACTTCCTTCTAGCAACTCTAATTACAGTAATTACAATGCCGGAAATAACTCAATAATTCTTAATTAATCCAAGTACAATTCCAGTATACTCAAATTTCGGAAGTCGTTTAACTGCTAAAACACTATTATTACAAACAGGCTTACCGGCATACAATATTTCTTATAAATTCTCTTTAGCAATTCCCAATATACCATTTCTATTTTACTGTAAATGTTTTTGTTTTCTAAATAATTATTTTAATATTGTTTTCAGAAATAATATGTATTAATATGTTTCTTTTACTCTGATGAAATGAGGCCACACGTTTTATGTTCATTTAAAACTTAATAATTTTAATATAAAATAATAAGATTGATATAAAATATATTAATAAAATTAACATAAGATTATGAATTCTAATTAATTTAATTATTTTCATTTAATTTGCATTAAATTTCTGTATGCTATTGTGGTATCTTAATAACATAACTACAAAAGTATAACAAATCAAGCCTCTTGCTATATGAATATTTCTTCATTCATAAAATACATTTCAAACTAAAAAGTTTGGCTTTGGCTTGCATACATATAAATACACCATGACAATATCTAGAATATCGAATTTGTATAGAAAAAGTTAAGAAATAAAAGTTATTTTGTGAGTTATATAATTATTTTAAATTTATGATAAAAATGTATTTAGTATGATAGCAATAAAAAATAAATATTACTCCTCCAAAATATTATAAATATTGAGAAAACAAAATTAAAATCTTAATTTTTATTATAAAAACTGAAAATAAAACTTTTCGTAACTTTATGTAAATTAGAATAAAACTTTTGTATTAGTTTAAAAAAAATGTTTGTTGAAAATAAAAATAGATGTGTATACCTAGAATCGGAGCTATTCAATAAAAACATTCCCATTTTTAGGACTTTGAACTGAACACCTTCTTATTAAGTTCCTTTACAATGAAACAACAGGAGCTCAGCTTGGGGCATCCCCGGTTCAGGTACTGTCGATTGGACCACTTGCACTTGCTTAAATTGAAAGAAAGCTTAGCTGGCTCTACCTTCAGTTAACCCGCTTAATTAAGTTATGCTCAGGTAATGAAGTGGCTAACTTCTTTACGGCAAGTTATGGCGGTTAGACCGCTAATGAAAAGGCGCTGAGAGAGAAAGACAACGAGACGAGAAAGAAAGAACAGTTAATTTGCTCGACATGGCCAAAACAGATTGCGACAGCCTTTCTCTGCATCACTTTAATATTCGTTCTTTTCTTTTTATTTATCAATAAATCAAAATAAATAACACATGCTCTTTGGCCTTTGCCTTTGGCCATCATGTGAGATCTGTGCTTTTTGGCATCCATCAGCAAATGTCCTTTGATTTGTTTGTTTAATATTTCTGGGTTGAAGACTGGGGGCTCTGTGATATTTATTTAATTGCAATTTGATTGAGGCTTGTCTTTTGTCCCTTTGTCGTTTGTCTTGGGGCTCTTTACGCTGACTTCAATTGACATATTGTGCCATCTATTGGACCCATTCGACGAGAGTCGACGCGTTAACGCGTTTCGCTGCGAGCGTTTCCCATAATCAAATTGGTTTCCATATTCGATTTGGGTTTGCTTTCCTTTCACATATTTTCACAATCAAAATGACAAAATAAAATTGCATACTTCTGTGGGTTTTTACAGCTTACGAGAAAGTAAAACTTAGACTCAGCTTCAGCTACGTTTCCTGAACATGAATTCCGATATTCACAAACATTTTAGTTGGAATTTAAAATAATGTGGATATAATGTAATAGAATTTGAAGAAATTCAATAGCCTCAATAAAATAATCGGAATCGAAATCTGAGGAAATATCCTAGTGGAAAAAAAGGATTTTTTAAATATCTATTAGATATTATCTAAGGAAGGAGTTTGGGATATGTTTTGACATTATGATTTTGCACAATTATTGTTTCTAAAACCATATCTCGGTTTCCTTCGATTTACTTTTTCATATTGTGTATATCATTAATATTTCAATATTCATGAGTTTTATTGTATGTGCAATAGATCGCATTAAAATTTTTATTCTTTTTAAGCTTCAGCAAATCCAAATTAAAACAATTAAAATGTTAAAAAAAAAACGAGTATTAATGTGATACACATATATATTATATAAATATAAAATGAAACTAAAATAGATTTTAATTTAACGGAATTATTTGAAATAAGAAACATTTCTATATTTTTTTTGTAGTCCATTACAGTCATAATATAATTATTAAAAATTGAGAAATTGGAGTATAATGTTTTTGAATAGCTTGAACCCATTGAAAATGGGAAGGAGGGTATATATTGTTATTGTTTTGTTATGTTCGTCCTTTAATTTATACTTATTTATTACAGTAATAAAAACCAAGGTAGTTAATCAAATCATTGTAATTTAGCTAATAAATATTAAATAGATCACATAAAAACATAGAATTTCAATAACGTTTTTAAGTATTTTTATATTCATTATATTATATTAAAAATAAAAAAATTTTCATTTGCATTCAAGATTTTTAAAAATATTTAAGTAAAATTGTAATTGACATTATTATAGAATTAAAAGAAGAATCCCCTAGTGTTTGTTGTTGGGTAAAATTATAATTATATATTCACTTGAGCATAACTTAATAAAAAATAATAATTTTATTTATTATAATTTAAAAAACTTAATATTCTAAACTCTATGGAAATATATTTCTTATCAAATATAATATACACTATAATTCTCAAATATAATATTCAGAATTCTCTGGGTATATAATTCTTTCATTAAAAATAGAATGTGTAGGTAGCTAAATTTTTTTTTTAGCAATTCACTTTTTTGTTGTTGAACAACTTACATTTGCAAAAGAGAAAACTCCTTTTTATCGATTCGTAAAAATTCGTGAAAACCACTGTTTCAATTTTCCTTTTTCTTTTAATTTTTGCTTAATGCAAATACGATTCAACACAAACGCGTTCAAAAACCAAACTTTTCCCAAATTTGGGGCAAGTTGTTCGTTTGCCGTCACTGCAGCACGTTGACAGATCAAATGTCGGTTAACTTTTGAATGGACGGCCGCTGAGGCGTTCGTTCTTATATGAGCAGCACGACGGACTTTCGCGCGCAGTTATCAGCGTAAAACCCACGGGAAAAGCAACAGTCGCTGCCAATGACGACAATGTGGTGGGCTCACGATGTAGATGTGCCGTGGTGAGTTGTGATTCAGTGTGAATCTCAACACGCAGCGTCCTTGCGGCTCGAGCGTACCGTGGTTACCATGGCTGCGCCATTGTTGGCAGCATGTAACAAGTGGCCGTGACTTTGCTTGGCGGCAACAATTCGGTGATTTCTTAGCCGTGGCATATGCGCCTGTGTCTGGCCTAACAATCTCTTGTTTTCCTTCCTCATGCTCACTTTCCTTTTTAGTCTCTGTATATTAACTAAGACTGGACTTCAATTTGTTTTACTTGCACAAGCGATAGTTGAGCAAGATGGCCGCCAGTTGACATCGTAGAGATGTGCTAGTTGTATATCGATAAATTTGTATAAAATGGAAGATCGGGCTGAAGTCGTGATGGTCGTGCTTTTCCTTCACAAAGAGATCACGTTTAAGATTACGCTGTCTCTAGTTTGGAGCTGCCATTGCCGCAAAGCAACGAAATATGTTTGTGTCAGAAACTAGAGTGTTCTTAATTTAGTCAGGTAATGCCAGCCATGCAGTGAACGCTGTGCAAAGCCTCATTAGCACTAAACGCGCAATATATGCACATGAAGCAGCGCCCACGCGTTTGTACATATCTGCATAAAGGGGGTAGTAAATATGTGAGCAACTATTTCTCAATTTCATTGAAATATTGTCGAGCAGCTGAGTGGCGTATTAGTCAAATGCAGGGCAGCCTTTCTAGTCCTTTGCTTTGCTTTCGCTTTGCTTTGCTTTGCTTTGCTTTCACAGAGGCAGTCAGCTGACAGTTTAAATGACATGCATGTTATTTGTTTGTTTGCTAGTATGTAACTAGACTCCCTCTTTCTTTATCTCTGAGTGTGTGTGTGTGAGCCAGTTTTTCCACTAACTGGAACTGTAACATTTCAAAAGCGAAACGATATGGAATTTATGCAGCATGCCTTTATCCGCCTATTTCACAATCTTCAGCTTAGGACATCTTATCCTGCGGCTGCCGTTGGCGACCTCCAGATTTTCTTTTTCTTATTTTACGATTTTGGCCATCTAAACGACATAAAACATCGAAATCCACTTTCAGCTCACTTGCGAGCTATTGAATTTGACCTATATAAAAAAATATATGAATAAAATGAATGCATGGTATTTTGAAATTTAATTTATTTTAATATGATTCTGAATATTAATATCAAATCAAATATCATTGCACAGCATTACATGTTAGACGATATCAATAAAGATATCATCTAACAGATTCTAGTTCTAGCATTAAGGAAATATTGACTAAAACTCACTTGTTTTGGTTTTTATACAAAAACAATTCACTTTTTGTTTATTCTATATTTTGACAAATCTTGTTATGCAAAGTAAATTTTGGCTTATTTAAAAATTTTTAAAACTCGTGTCAAATTCACTTCATATATTAGGATAGGATGGAGCTGTTAATGCATCGATCGGTGATAGATATAACTTTTTCAGTCTACCAACCAGCTTACATATTTATATAAATGCAAAAACACTTCATAAATTACAGGTAACTTGAAAACTAAAATTGACCCAATGAAATTAATGGAAATGTCATTAAGCGTAAAGTTTGTTCATGTAACTCTCCGAGGAAGTGAATATAGTGTGTTAAGTTGCGAAGGGACACACGTTAAAAGCATCCTGGTAATTCCTAATAGCAATTCAGCGATGGCAAATGGCCAACTAGCAGAAGCCATCAACAATTGTCGCCCGCTGTGCGCTTAATAGTAAATAGTAGTTAAACTACGTAATACGAAAATCGCTGGCTAATTGCAAAACATATATTCGGAATTGGCGGGGCATGGCTAGGACACAAGTCCTGGTGCGGCCGTCGCTAATTGCCACTCGGGCGTATACGTAACGCGCTCTCGATATGGTCGAGCGCTCAGCGTGGCATCATAATTATCCCAAATCATGATGAACTTTGAAATTGCATTGAGATTTGCGTGGCTCAATATGCCGAGCTTATTAACATTTCAACAATGACGTCAACTGATTATAGCCATGAGTTGCGCGAATATCTATAAAAAAAAAAACTACGATATCTATCTATCTGTTCCGGAGTATTCACCACAGCATTTCGATCATAAATCTTAACATAGATAACGGGCGGCTCATGACGAGCGAACATGGCATGACATCTCCATATAAGCATATCCATATCCATGTCCATGTCCACATAGCCTGGCCAACTGCTCGAGGCGTGGTAGGCTAATCTCAAAGGTCGCTGCGTTACACACCGGAACAGGTTCATAAATTTCCCAGTGGTCCGAGTGTGCGGTGTAAGTCATTAGCCGCGTTCCACGGCATATGTTTGCTTTGTGCTGTTCGCATTGCTGTTGCGCCAGCCTCAGTCTCAGCCTCTCAGCCTCTGGCCGAGTCTGTCGAGGATATCGAGTGCGGCACTGCCAAATAAAAAACAGCTGCAAGCCGAAACTCAAGTAATTTCAATTTAGTGCTCCAGTAGACAAGTTCAGCAATAAATCATCATTTGGAGCACTGGCTGTGGATCCGGCTGTGGCTCTGACTGTGGCTACGGGGGCAACAAACCCGCGCCAGCCATCCAACCAGCCAACGAGCCAACTACCATTCAACCAGTTTAGCCCACACCTACTCCAACACAAACATACACATACACACACACGCACACAGCTGCATTGTAAACTTCCCACCAAAAATGCATAAGCAGAAAAATAAACGTCAAAGAAAACATTTTTAGTACTTGTAAGATGACAAAAAAAAAAAAAAAAAGAAAAAGATGAAAAAATCACGATTTTTATGCAGGTTTTCGGCGATTTTTCCCACAACAAGTTTTTTGTTGGTTTTTAATTGATTCGGCGCATGAGAAAAAAGAACTGAGTGCAGCGCCAAATGCACTTGAGATCCAGATGAACTTATGTGGCGTTAGATATCAAAAACAACAACAACGACAACAGATTTAGCAGCAGCGGCAACAGCACTAACATAAGCTAAAAGCCAAACACACACACACGCACAGCCTGTACACGTATGACAGCATATGTATGAGTGTGTGTGCTCATAATTATAATTAGAACAAAGAATAAATATGTATATGTGGGTGTGTGTGTATTTGCCTGCTCTTGCACTTCCATGCGTATGCATATTTGTATACTGGTTGTTGCTGTGTGTGTGTGTGTATGTGTGTGTATGGAAGGCAGAAAGTCAGTAAAGAATGTTGCTGCCGGCCTCTCTTCACTGCGGCGCAGCGTGTGCCGCGGCTGACTCTGCTGCCGGTTTCTTCTGAGTGACACACTTTTTTTTCGGACAGAGCCGCCTGTGCCGCTGGCAGGGCCAGAAGTAGGTAAGCAGCGGACGTCGGCGCTATGTTTGTGCGAGTGTGTGTATGCGTGTGCATATGTATGTGTGCGTTATCCATTCTACGCTTCGCTGCATTGAAATTTCTTTTTCGCTTTCTTTTCGAGCTCTTCCAAGCGCCAGCACTTGCGCTCTTCCGCTCTCTATCTCACTTACTCTCTGCTATTCTCTTCAAACTCCTACTCTCTTCATATACCAATATCTCTTCATCTCGCTATGCCTCTCGCCTGCTCATTCTTTCGGAATTCTGGCTGCCACCCACTGGAACAGCAGCAGCGTTGCTGCGACGCTGCTACGCCATCTTCGTATGTGTGTGCCTGTGTGTGCTTGTGCTTGTGCGTGTGTGTGCTTTCAAGTATATGGGTCAACTTGAAGTTCTTGGAGAAAACTGGTAGTTCCACTCTGTGGCTTGCGAATGGAGGAAAGTGATATGGTCACTTGATCGAAAGCGAATGCGCTGCTGCTGTTGCTCTGCTGCTGGCTCTGCCGGTGTTGTCGGCGTCAGCGTCGCCGTCGCCATTGGCGTTAGCTGCGACGTCGACGTCGCGATCGTTGTTTATGTCATTCTAAATGCGCCTGGCGACTGCTCATAGAATTGTTGCTAGCTAAAATGAGGTCAGGTTCAACGCTGGATACGTTTGCTGACATTTCCGTTTTAGGGTCCGGCCCGGGCCCGGCCCGTCTGCTTCACGTTGCGTATGCGCAATCGTAATGCACAATGCACAATGTGCAAGGTGCAGCTGTCCAAACAAGATCAACAAAACCAACAAGACGCGACTACAGGGCACTCAGAGTGATTCAAGCCTATTTGCATTCCAATTATGTAAACTAAACGATTCGGCCACATAGACAAAAGTTGTTTTATTTTTTTTTTTTTTATCTTAAAATATAATATGCGACTGGAACTGCTGCTGCTCCGACTGCTGCTGCTGCCAAAAGGTGAATGAAACCTGATGAATGCCAACAAAAACAACAATCGTAAAGACAACAGCCATGCATGTGTGTGTGTGTGAAAGGCAACAGGTGAGCCAGCCGCTGCTGCTGCTTACTGCAGCGCTTACTGATTTTCACCTGGTGGCGCTCACCGTCTGAAACTCATGCGAGTGCACTTATAATTTACTATAGCATTGTCGTAATTGTTGCTTTTGTTGTTGTTTGGAGCGTGCGCTTGGAATTCGCAAAATGTTATAAGCAAAAACGAGCAACAAATAAGTAACAAAAATACAACACAATTTGCTACCACTCAAAACAAAAAAGAAACAAAAAAGCAGAAAACAAAAACCAAAACAAGCAAGCGGAGACGACGACGCAAATATTACACAAGCGCAGCGTCGGCGCAGGCAGCACAAATTACATGCTGAGCTCGTGGGGAAAGGGAACTCAAGAAGGAGAGGGGCGAGGCCATTAGAAACTAAGCTGCAATCAAGAAAGCTCTCGCGCGCAGCTCAACAAGCCGTCGTCGCCGTCGCCGTCGCCGTCGCCATCGTTGTCGTCGTAGTGAGCGTCATCGTCGCAGCAGCAGCAACAGCAGCAGCA